CTTTCTTCTCAAGCCATGGATTGGAACCAGTCCCAAATGTAGGTCTAATTGATTAATTTCAGTTTGATTTTTACTTTTCAAGTACTTTTTTTCTTGCATGAACGAAATTTCTTCAATTTCTTGGACAGGCGTGAAGGAGACAAAGCTGAGAGCAGTTTTCGTTCTATGCTTCAAGAAGATTTGAGTAGTTCAAATAGCAATTTTCATCAAGAAACTGGTACAGCATCTTCTCAAGATCATTGGAGGGAGAAATTATATTCTGCAGGTTCTGAGGATTCAAATGCGAATGAATACAAGCAAATCAACCGGGTTTATTCTTTAGATAGCTCCGGTGAAACTGAAAGCAGTACAATTACATCCCAGCAGGGTTTTCCGGCGGATTCAGCTGCCTATGGCCTTCTGTTATCTGAAAATCAGCCACAGCATTCGACATACGAAAACCGGCCCATGAATTTTCCGTATCCAATGAACTACGGATCGAACACAGGTGAATGGACGCCTTCTTGGAACAAATTTCCTCAGACATTCTTAAGAACAACAGTGCCTCAAAAACAGTCTCCTGGTAATATATATTTCACCAATAAAACTCCCTTCTGGAATGCATCCGATGATGTTCGACCGAGCTTCTTTTCTTCGTTGCCAACGCCAATTCCTACACCGGCCTTAGATGAAAAACCAAAGGTGATAAAATTTTCTAAAGTTTTCCTGTAAAAATTTAACTAGGGTTTTCTTGTTCTTGTTTAAGATAGTAAAATTCGTGTTCATTTTCTCCAAAAGAATACATTAGAAATTCGGGATTTGGGTACAACAGCAAAGAAAACAAGCACTCAAGCATCAAATAAAAGACCAAGGAATGAAACGCCATCACCTTTGCCAGCTTTTAAGGTATGCACAATAAATTAATTTAAACTTTTACTTTGAGAAAAGTTGAAGTTTTGATTATTTCCAGCTTTTTCTTAATTCATATAAACAATTAACAAGACGATATCTTTGTTCTTGATTAGGCGAGAAAAGAGAAGATGGGAGACAGAATCACTGCCCTTCAACAATTAGTTTCACCTTTTGGAAAGGTATACGTTAACAATTCCAAAACAATCCTTCACTTAATCTCGAATTATTAAACAAAACTTCTTGTATGACTAAATATCGAATCCGATTTCTCAGACTGATACGGCTTCTGTGCTTTCTGAAGCTATTGAATACATAAAATTTCTACATGAACAAGTTGGGGTAAGTCTCATAGAACATCATTTACAAATCATATAATTTTTCGCGATACATTTCACTCATAAAATTAAGGTTTTGTACTAATATTTTCTTCTGGTTTATAATGTCAGGTTTTAAGTACGCCATACATGAAAAGTGGATCTCCAATACAACTCCAGCAGGTACAGAAACAGTCTTGCATCACATTAATGCCATAATGATTAAGAGTTGAAAGTAATAAAACTGTAATTCTTAATCTTCAACCATGTAATCTTGTAAGTTTTTAGAAATCTCATAATAATCTTCCTCATATTTTCAGAATTCTGATAAATCCAAGGTTCCTGAACAAGGACCACGACAAGATCTTAGAAGTCGAGGGCTATGTTTAGTACCGATTTCGAGCACTTATCCGGTTACTCACGAATCATCAGTCGATTTTTGGACCCCGACATTCGGAGGAACTTTCCGATAAGGCAACATTAGCCGTAATTTTATGCAACTGGCTTATTTGAAACCCTACCTAGCAAAGAATAGGAATATCGATAAGATAGGAGAAGTGTGGACCTCCTGACTTTGTGCCAAAGAAAGAAGGATAAAGGAAAAAGGTATATGCCCCGGTTAAAAGATGGAACAGTGTTGGGCCATCTACAGGCAAAATGATGCAGCTTTGGCTACAATTAGGATAGGGTTCTTTGTATGCAAATATATTCTTGTAATAATTGATGAATTATGATTAATGTTTGGTTAGCTAGGATTAGAATAGAAAACATTAATTTGTTGTCTGTAACTGAATTTGATTAGCACAAAGGGAAAGGATAAAAGGAGCTTTTGTAGCAGGCCTGTATTTGTTGTTTTTATATTGCATAAAGCTGGCATTTAACTTTAGTTTAAATGAAAATGAAAGAAATAATTGAATTCCAGAACAAGAATTTGTGTGGGGATCATATCATTTGATCGAAAATCTCACTTTTGAATTGTTTATGTGTTTGGAATATATTAGTGGAAGTCAGAAGGTGGCCCTGTGCTCCCCTGCCTACCCTTTACCCCGTTAACTTACAGAGCCTAATTATAGTTATTATACAGAGTTAGTACGCGAATTGAGGGAGGTTAGAGAAGATTGAGTG